AATCCAAGACGAGAAAACCAAATCTGGGACAAAAAACCAAATCTGAAACAAGAAAACCAAATCCGGGACAACTTTCTTCTAAAAAACTAAACTATTGCTTCTAAAAAATCCGGGACGTAAAGTGAAAATGCGAGACTGTTCCGACCTATCAGGGACGTCTGGTCACATTATAAGAAAAATTGTACATATAATATAATGAATAAAAAATATGTTTTAATATTTTTTTTACTGAAAAAAAATAGTACTTTTTCAAATCAACTGTTGTATTATAATTCGTACTGGGCAAACCGATATCCTGGGTATATGTCCAGTGGTATATGTCCAGTTTATAATTTTGTTTACATGAGTGTGTGTGTATTTTGTACTGTGCAGTGTCGCCTGATGTTTCAATTTGAGCAAGGGCTCAAGCAGCCTCTCTCGACTAAGATTAGTGCATCCAGCATTTGGTTTTGATTATTCGCACTCGGGAATAGATCAGTCGCACAGGAAGGGCATTAAGCACATGATCCGTCGCGAACGATGCGATTGCGTGCGAATGCCCAGTCCGTCGGCGAATTGAACACTAATAATATAATACAAACTAGCTGTAAGTGAAATTCTGTCTTAAGGCAATTAAGGCATCGTGCCTTAAGGCAAATTGCTGGAACTTCCCGTACCAAAAATTATTTTTTTTTAAAAAAACGATTAACAATTTTGAAAAAATTTTACTTCGAAAAAATAAGATTTTTGAAAAACTATAAATTGGAAAAAAATTACTTTTTTTTTGAAAAAAAATTTTTTTTTCGAAAAAAAATTTTTTTTTATTTTTTTTTTTTTTTTAAAAAAAAAATATTTTCCTTATTGTGACATATTTTGAAAGATCTAAACTTTTTTTCAAAGCAATCGTACTGCTTTAACTGCATAAAGACGAATTATCAAAGAGCGTAAAGCGCCACGTCGCCGCCTAACGCGTAAACACTGGTACGGAACCCATAGGACTGTAAACCAAATTCATACTTATTGTTAAAATCTCTATAAAATATCTGATAATTTGATGTGCATATGTCTAATGATCATTTTTGGCCGCCAAATGGCATTTTTTTTTACTTTTTTCATTTGATCTCCGAAACCGTTAGACCTGCCTTCATGAAAATTTAATCAATTCTTCATCTTGTCAATACAAGTAAAATGTTTTTTGAATTATTCAAATCGGACGCTCCGTTCTCTTAAAAACTGAGTTACCGTTTTCGGCACTTTTTGCCCCGTATCTTTGGAACGGCTAGACCTGCCTTCGCCAAAAACTAATCAGCACGTCTCCTTATCAATACGAATCGAATGTTTTTTGAATTATTCAAATCGGTTTATCCGTGTTCCCGAAATCGTCGACGAAAATTTGTATCCGCACATACATACACACACGTACATACATACACACACACATACACACACACATACACACACACATACACACACACATACACACACACACACACACACATACATCCATTTTTTCTAAGGTATGCCAAAATGTTCAGAAACCTCTGAAACGTAAAGATATATAAAAATTTTCATTTTCGATTTTTTTGCGATTACTATAACTTACCCTACGGGAAGTTAACAATAAGGCAAGGTCGAACACAATTGCAAATTCACTGTACATTGCAGTTTTATTTCTGATGATGAACGGATTACACGATAACAGTAATCCACAAAAACATAGTTATGTGATTTATCTGTAGTAACATCTTTAACACTTTTATAGCGCCTGACTCAATTAATTATTCATCAGATACTCATTCTGTATTTAGCTATTAAATTATTATTATTTGCTTTATTGTCTACAAAAATAATATGAAACTAAGTGTTAATGTCATTTGGCGTTAAGACAAGTTTCATAAACTTCTCAATGTGTGTGACTTAACCAATAAGAATCGAAATAAAAGTCCAAACGCTGACTTTTTGTAATTGAACCACATTTTGCAGGTCTTCAATATTTTAGAATGTTCGATAAGACCAGTTTAATCAAAACTGCCATTTACTATTTCAACAATTAATTTCGAAGAAATGGCACAATTTTCTGAAAGTTTTAGCTCTTAATATTAACTTTTAGATAGTGCAATTCAATCAAACTTCCTGAAATAGCATGGTAAAAATTTTGAAAATTAAAAAAAAAAAATAGGTATAACTTAGCGGCAAATGAATTAAAAGTGAAAATTCGTGTCATTTTTTATGGAAAATTCGACGCTCTGCAAAATTTTTGAAAATTTTCTCATGCTATTTTCATACAAAACTTTGGTTGAATTGCGCTTTATCTAAAAGACAATATTAAGAGCTAAAAGTTTCCGAGCATTGTTTTTTATCAATTTGAAACCATTTGAGCCCTTGGGAGCAAGGAAATTCAAAAATGTCTATATTAAGGACCACCCTAATATATATACCGAGCCGGATCGACTCGGATTTGACTCCGCTTCATGGTGGAGTTATATCCGCTAAACAACTGCACGACTCCGACAATTTTGAAACCGAAATACTCGAAACAAATGTGTTCTATAGTACGCTGTTTATGTATCTAAGAATTTTTCAAATCCCATTAATTATTTGAAATAAAAAAATTATGAATAATTATCAATAAAATATTTTTTTTAAAAAATTCACGAATAAATGACGGATTGTAAAATTTTTCGGTCGACCAGATGATCGACTCAGTGACTCGTATTTGTAGCAGTGTTGACCAAAGTAAAAACGCAAAACTTGAGAATCAAATTCAATTTAATGATTTCCTTTTGATGAGAAAATAATTGATTTTTTGGATTAATTTTATATACAAATTATGTAGTAAACTTTGTAATAAAAGCAAAACATAATACTTCTGCTTTCAAAATTTTTCTTCTGCTATTTCCATTTGAGAATTAATATTATATCGCGTAGTTCTATTAGCATATTATTACTTTTACACAATTATATAATTGTGTAAAAGTAATAATATAATACTGAATATTTTTTACTGCTTAAATACTAATGATATCACTGATAAATTTTGTACTCTAAAGTGTTGTTATTTCAGGCTATGGAAAAACAAGATTAAATAAATGTATATCGTTTCGTATATTTTTCGGTATATATATTCCTGATTGCCGTCATTTACGACTAAAGATTGCGGTAGTTAGAAATATCACCCCTTACTATTCAATAAATTATACATTTGAGCTATTCACACTTGAATGCAATTTCACTGTTCTGTATCTTTAAAGTAACATTTTTGAATTTTCTGGAAAATACACAATGGTATTTATTTTGACTTTTATACTGCCTGCGAGGCAAGAAAGTGACCGCTTTCTTCCGAAAGCAAAAACGACAAAAACACTAAATGCCTGTACGAGTTAACAGATTTAATACCATTTTAAGGAAGTCGGATAAGACAAATCCTGTGAAACAACTCCACTCGGATTCACTCCGAGGGAGCAGTTGTATCGGAGTGATAACTCCGGAGTGAGTTACCCATCTCTAATATATATATATATTCCCAGTAAACCACAAAACGTAACAAAGCCATGAACGTTACGTAACGCTGCCACGTTCGCACGAAGCAGGTACGTAACCTGGGAGGCACACAGAAGTATCTATTTCGCGGGCATGAACGTAACGGCTGTTTCGTTGCACACTAAAACACTGCGGTTGCATTTTTGCTACGTATCAAAGTTGAATAAAAAAGCGTGTAGGTGTCTTTTATGTTACATAATTATTTAATTAAATTTCCTGCAAATATAAAATCAATTTCGGATATTTAGTAATTTTATTACATTTGTATCATTTATATACAAAATTTACATATTACATAGTTGCAACATTGGAAAACTAAAATTTGATAGTCCATAAAATGTTAACCTATAAAAATAAATATTTATTTATTCATAATATGTATTATGTTTAACTCTCTTGGCAACTTCAGTTAAATCAGACTTGGCAAAGTTAAGTCTTGCGTTAAATATGCTCAACTCACTTGCATCTGTTAATGTATCTGAAATAGAACGAAACATCTTAGTAACATTGTAAACAAATTTTTAATTGAAAATATTGTGAACAAATTAGTCATTTGTGAACATTACCTCTAAACATACTCCTTATTTGAAGTTGATGACTATGTAGTTCTTACAATCATATGACAGAGATAATTATTCGATGAACACACTTAATAATTTTCTTGCATTGATTTTATCCTCTTAATTTTAAAGACGTGAATTTTCTAAAAGTAAAACATTACATATTAGTACTAAATCATATTAGTTAAAATTCTCTTCATGTAGAACCTTAATATACCAATTCTGTAACACAAGATCATCAGACTCGAAATACTCAACAATTCATGTTCTCTTCAACACTTAATCCATATAATGTGTGATATCCGGTGTATTCTTTGTTTTCCTTCTCGCATGCTTTTAAGTCTTGCTTGTTTCTTTGGTGACAATTTATCTTCTTGATTAGAGCAAATTTCCCTAGTTTGAAATCCATTTTGACATAACCCATAAGGGTTATGAGCAGTCTTTCTCTACAATTGAAAAGCAATTTATATCAGTTTTTGCTTAACTGAATAGTTCTGATGGAATTATAAAGAATATGTATAATACCATATATATTACACTTATCTACCTATAATATACTAATAAACTAATACTAATAAACAGAATTTGCATTGAACACGACCTATATACTGAAAATAACTAATTAATCATTAATATAATAATTTGTAAATTTAAAAAAAAATCCGCACAATTATACTCACCTCTGGCGTTTTCGTATTAAATATATCACTTTCCTAAAAGTAAAACATTACAAATTAGTACTAAATCATATTAGTTAAAGTTCTCTTTGTGTAAAACATTAATATACCTATTCTGTAATACAAGATCATTACTTAAGAAATACTCAACAATTCATTTTCTTTTCAACACTTAATCGATATGTGTTCTTATTTATTGATATGTGTTCTTATTTTTCTTCTTGCATGTTTTGAAGCCTTGCTTGTTTTTTGGTGACAAAGGATTAATAATTTCTAATATTTTATCTAACTTTGTATTTATCTTCTCTATTGGAGCAAATTTCCCTAGTTTGAAATCCATTTTCGTAGGGGTTATCAGCACTGTAATTTTCTCTACAATTGAAAACCAACTTATATCAGTTTGTGCTTAGATAAATAGTTCTGATACTAATGGAACTATAAAAAATGAATATGTATAAAACTATATAACTTACTTCTCTTTATTCATATATCACTGAATTGAGGTTATATTTCTGACTGGTGCGTTAGAAATTTCAATATTGCATGATAAATCAATTATCACAACACATAAACAGACTTTGCATTGAAGACGGCCTATATACTGCAAATGACTAAACATTATTATAATAATTTATAAATTAAAATATGTTTCAGTACAATTAGACTCACCTTATTTGCCGGTTTCATATTAAATACTTTTGCAGCTGACTGTTTAACTAATTTCTACAACTGATTTCGCACTAAATATAAAAGCAATTAATAAATAACGTTTCAATAATTGAAATATCTTGCATTTCAAACATACACGATAAAATACTCAATTCTGCGTCCACGATGCACTAACTGAGTTAACCTATAATTAATTTGACGTTTCGCTCATAAAACACTTCACGGCTATTTCAAAGGCTAATCTATGTGACAATGCAACGTACCGCGCCACGTACCGACAGAAACGCGTCGACGGTGGTTAAAGATCACAACTATACGTAACAGCATCGTTTTTTTTACTTAACATCAGTTTCGAAACGAAAGTTACAAAATGAGTTACGTAGATTTAACTTCTGTGGTTTACTGGGTTATATATTATATATATATATATATATATATATATATATATATATTATATATGTACCAAAAATGAATCAGTACTTAAATAACTTATCAAACCGCAAATTACAAATACGATACATAGTCTAGGTTTGCATATGCCTGTTCCGAATATTGCGGTTAATTATATTGTGAGGTACTTCATAGATTTTAAAGCTGTACGACCAAAAATGTAGTGTCTACAACTACACTACCAATTTTTGTTTAAGAAAAAATTACCAATTAAAGAATGGCAATTGTGATCGATCAATGCCCGCGGTTCTCAAGCACTCGTCTTTTTTTCGTTGGTTGAAAAAAGCCGGGGAATCGAAATATTCGAATTGGGCGCTTAGAAAGTCACTGACCGACCGGCGAACGTAGAACGTTTTCGGTGAATTTAGCTGTGGGCCACTTAAAAATTGCTATCACTTTCGGATACGAAATTACTTTCGTCTTCGATAAAAAAATCAAGAAGCGATGCAAAAAAGATATGAAATAGAACAATGAGAAACTTATTCTCATATCAGAATATTGTGATAATATAAAATTAGAAAAAAGTATTTAGAATAAAACATAGAGAGAAGAGTGAGGATACTAAACTAATGACTTTCGATCGACGAGTTTATTAAAAAAATACAAAAATTTATCAAAAATCTACAAGATCGTTATTAATATTTTTTCCGCCTATTAAATTATTTCTTTAAATAATAAGAAGTAAGACGATAACAAAATAATTAAAAAATATAAATACAACATTGTTGATTTTTGTACAATATTGGTATTAAATTACATTAACGTTTTTAAATTAATTCAATAAACAATTAAAAATATGTCATGTGCTATCGGAATCGTCTGAACATGAACATTTAGAATATATCGACTCTAAACATGCATTTACTATTAGCGTTAATACCAACAAAATTACGAAATGTTTTGAGTCAGGTTTTGACTGAAATTTTAGAAGCTTTTTTGGTCTTTTCTATGGCATTTAGCCACTTATAATCACAATCACAATCCTGCCAGATGTTGAGCGTCATTGTCAGACTTGTCACGGTAATAAGAGACTTTTATTATTTATTGTTATTATTTTTGTTAAAATCAATTAACTTATGCAAGTATTAGTGATTTCGATTAATTTTAATCCAATTATCAGCTGTTTGATAGAATTTTGATTTTTTATTCGTTTTTGTTCAGTTTCGGACAAAATGACATAGTACTATTTTTCAAAAGACCCAGACCAAAAAAACGAAAAATTAAAATCTATAAAAGAAAAATGTCATTTAAGTTTTGTTCTAACTACTTCTAAAAACAGACCAAACGATCCACCGGTAAAAATGAACTTGCATCTTGCTAACCCGGCGAAGGTTGATTACGATGTATGAATTCTTCCCTTTGGGCTCATGCTTCATATGCTGATGTCCTAAAGTGGACCAAACAATTGATTTGTCAACTGCCTTCTTAAAAGTTAGCATCTCAGTATGTTCTTACTCTCAGTATGTGTCCGTATATGGACAAATCGGTTTTTGCAATTGATTGCATTTTGCCTTAATAAATATGTTATTATAGTTCTCACTTAATAAAAACCCATGTCACTAATAAACCAACAATTAGAAAAAACTATTAAGATGGATTATATCATAAAATAAGTAAATATCATTAAGAAACACCACGTCATTTTGTCAACATTTTCCCTATCTCTTATATGCAAGTCGTATTTATTACCATTCAGCCAAGTCTATCGCAAAAGGCCGTTATAAACTATAATAAAGAAACTATTTCGACCTAAACAATAGATTTTCAAATATAGACTTACATTAGTCATAGCAGCCCCGCCGACTACCGCCCAACCCCAACCACCGTCAGGTACTTCAACATTACTCTTCAGGACGGTCATTTTTCTTCTAAGGATCCTGATCCTTTTAGAGCACTCACACAAATAAAAATTCACAAATCCACTTACACAAATTCACGTAACTATTATATTTCTATATAAATCTGTGGTCCTGTCAAATGACAGTGATCACCTTGGCCGATAATAGGAGCATCGTTAGAGTACTTGCCCGAGAAGCTGTCGATAACATCTTGCTAATTAAATTTAAATACGAAGACTTTTAAACAACCGTAAAAAAATATCAATACCGGCTATTCGGTAAAGATTTTGAACAAATATTAGTTTGAGTTATTGGATAAAATATCATTAACAATTATGTAACATTTGCACATAATTCATTAATTTGATAATGAAATTTATCAGCTGTTTGATTGATATTACACACTATAATTTTTTATCAATGTCACTGACATACGTTTTTGTGAATCACTTGTATTAATTCCTAAACACTTTTATAATTATTTTATACTTAAGCATTTTAATAAAAAATAACAATATGCACTTTAAATTTTATTCTCAATAAATGTATCACATTTTAAATATTTAAGTTTCTAACGATTACCAATTTGTAGTATTTTATATAAAGAAAACTAAATTAAAATAGCTGTTTTCTATTATTTCAATTTAAAAATTTATTAATTCTCAGTATTTTCTATTATAAAAAGTGAGACACGCGCGGTGGCTTCGCACGAATTGATAGTTTAAAAATCAGTGAATAAAATACCGGTCGGCTACGAACTCACTTCACGATTAGTAGAAGATCTGATGAAAAATATATAAAACATAAATAAAAATTTACTTAAACAGATATGTAAAATTTGTAATATTTTAATTTTTCCACATCCTAAACAATCAAAATAATTATTTATTATTTCAAAAAAGTATTTAATTTTTGCTTATTTAAGTAATATATAATAAAATCGTATATATATATATATATATATATATATATATATTTACTGTATCAAAATGATTACATATATGTATTTATTGTCACATATCAAATGTTATCTAATAAATTAATAAAATGGAATAAATAAACACTGAAGAATATTAATAAAATAGTGTTATATACATGTATGATTTATTTATATATGCATATAGATAATTAATATTAGAGAACTTCTTTATTATGTATTTTACAGTAGGGGAGATGGGTACGGTTGTGCCACTTTTTTTATCAGCAAAGCGAAAAAAAGTAAATTAAATAGTGATTTAAACATTTGTCTACGTGCAAATACTAAAACACTGTCCTTAAAATACGATGAATTCATATAGTCATAAAATCAAAGCATAAAAAATGGCTAGTGTCACAACCGTCCATACCCAAGGGACGGTTGTGACAGGCATAAAAATAGGTTAAAAAACAGTAGCTATAAACAACAAAATGGTTTATAACAACTTTTATTCCTTTCTTTCCTTTGCATTAAATCTTTTTTTCCTTGTACTGAGTGTCTCATTTCTCTTTCTCTTTTTTATATTGTTCTAGTTATATTGGATTTTTTTATGTGTTTAATCTTCACCCGAATAGGACAAGAAATACATGTCACAACCGTATTCACAAAATTTGTCACAACCGTACACAACGCAAACTTTTGAAAACAAGTCATCGTTAAGATTGAGCTAAATTATCTACGCAAAAACTAATTTCTGGTAATTAAGTACTAACTTTCAACATTCATCAAAATAACGAATAAAGTTATATCTGTATAGAAGTAACAGTTATTATTAAGTTATTATTAAAAGAAATCGAACAAAGAAACATGTTTTTCTACATCAATGCGGTCTATAGATCATGTAGTATGCTAAACATACTACCTCTTTCTCGCTTTGGATCCTATCTCAAAATCAGTATGCGTAGCTGTTATGACGACTGTCACTACCGTATCTGGCACAACCGTACTCAGGCTTTCCTAACAATATGTAAAATGTCACTAAATTAATAGTTCTTTTTGTGTTTGCGATATATTTCGGTAATTTTTAACTTATGCCTAATTGGAAAAACAAATAATATACTTCACACTTTTTTTTATATTTGAAAAATTTGAATTTATGAAATATCATAATAATTTTATATTTTTAAATGTATTTTATTTTTTAATTTGAGTAAAATATTATCATTCGTCATACGAGGAAACACACACGATAATATGTTTGTGTCAGCAACACTTATCGCGTAAAATACACACAAATAAAACCGGCACGGGCGCTTCTAAAACTATCACATTTATTTATGTCCAGTGAATTTATGCAATTTATTATTTTGTTTTTGAAAATTGAAATTGTAGTAAAATTAAAGTGAAATTTATTTTAAAAACTAAAAGATTGAATAATTATACAATTGTTGCTTACTTGTGTCTTATGAAATTTGATTGAAATTTGTTGCAAATATGGTTTGCATTAAAATTTTTTTTTAAGTCGCATATTGAAAATATATGCTCTTGTAAAATATGTCACAAAAAATTGGTGAAAACATAATTTCTAATACAAAAATATACACATGAATTAATTAAAAGTAAAATTAATATAATGTGTGATATACTTAATCTATGTATACTTGAAAAATAATAGAAATAATATAATCAGTATTAATTCGTATAAGGTAAGGCGGCGAACAAAAGTCAAATTTGACATTGAGCAATTATATTCTAAAAACCAAACGATTTCTATCATATATTAAACAAACAACTATCTGACTATATTCAGTAAAGCTCCCAGCTAATTTATTATTGTAAAAATGTGTTTTTCAAAAATTTGTCATCTGGTTGTTTTTACCCCATAGGCAAAGTAAAATGAGACGGCCAGAGGCCAACAGTCCAAAGTCTTATTTTTAATATAAACTGATTTTACAAAACAATGCCAATGCAAAATATAAATTTAAGAGATAACACTGTATATAACCATGATCTGGAGTTTTGTCAGAAATATTCATCAGTAGATTTGGAATAATTAGTTATTTAAATTATCCCTTGTAAAATTGTTTTTTTACCACAATTTACTTTTTTACTTTGCTAGGGTAAAAGTTCAGTCAGTCCTTTTTAACCCACCCACGTGTAACCTTTTCCAGAGGTTATATATAAAAAAATGACTGAAAATTAACGCTCTAGATAAAAAAAACTTTTAAATACAACTTAAAATTAACAATACTTATTAATTAACAATACTATCTTAAAAAGCAATGAAATAAAGTATACTTAAAAAATATATTAAAGGTTTGTAAACTAAACAACATTGCTCACAACCCAAAAATCTAACAATGAAAGGAAATAGAAAATACTTTTGTTATGGATTTTTCAAATTTGCCTTTTTTGTCCCGATAGCAACGTCGTGAGAATCAAGGTTATACATCTTTTCTCCTCTACTTTCAAATATTGGTGTTAAAATAATCTTAACTTTACTCGTTTTTGAGATATTGGTGATGGACCTTTTTACCTAATGACCATAATCCCCGCATTACTCTATAATATATATATATATATATATATATATATATATATATAAATATATGTGAATTGAAAACATATTATTTTATCAATTACACAAAAATAATATATGTTTCTACTAAAGCAACTTGCTTCACGAACAAGATTTAAGTGGCGTAAAGATAAAAAAATTTTCACGCTTCGGTCATGTATTTTCCATTATTATTTGATTATTTTGCAAATTGAATTGTATTAGTTTTCATGACTACTTGTGTGTTATGATAAATTTGCTATTTGCTAACGCCAAAATTTATATTTTTAATACTTTTTATGTAAATGATCTTATTTTGGCTTAGTACAAGAATATATTCAAATTGCCATTATTTAAGTTGCTGGAAAGTAATGTTAGCAGTTAACCAGCATTTTGAGTGGTTATGAACAGTTGAGTTTATTAAATTGAACCCTTCACACTGACCTCACATGGTGTCATACGCCGGTTTACATCAATTAATGCATTTACCAGCATCAACCGTGATACAGCTTCAACATTTTCGGGTCAAAGTATTGTAAACTAGTAGCGTACAGTCACTAGATCGGTTAATTATTATTTTTATATCATTTGCTTGAGAAACAATTTTATAGCAAAAACACAAAAAATACAAAATTGCTGCTTATTTCTCAACACAGGCTCCACAACAATACATACTAAAATCTATTCGGAAGACCTAATCAGTCCTATTTAAACACATAAATTGTCTAATAGTATGTAGAATATCCAGCTTAAGTATGAAATTTAATGGTTATATAAATTTAAATCTCTCAAGTCCGAAAAATAGATCTATAATTTGCATATTTTCTAAAACTTTTCATTAGTTTGGTATTATAGAGTATTTATAAGGAAAATAGTCACAATGTTACTTATAATAAATTTCGTAATGTGCTCTTTTAAGCAAAGCGTTGATTTGAAATTTTATTTATTCTTTGAGTAATATAAATTTAAAAATCCTTTTGATCAATAGTATTGAACTGTTGATTGTCCATTAGATTCAAATTTCAATCCTTATTATAATAATGACCGCAGATTATAATAAAAACCGCAGCAAAGCGTGGCAGGGTATGTAAGTATATACACACACACACATATATATATATATATATATATATATATATACAAGGGTGGTCCTTAAAATTGTCATTTTCGAATTTCCTTGCTCCCAGGGGCTCAAATGGTTCCAAATTGATAAAAAACAATTCTCTGAAAGTTTTACCTCTTAATATTACCGTTTAGATAGAGCGCAATTCAACCAAACTTCGTATGAAAAGATCATGGAAAAAATTTTGAAAACTAAAAAAAAATGTTTTAGGTATAACTTAGCGGCAAATGAATGAGTTTTATTCATTCACTTGTTTGCTAAATTACATCTAAAAACATTTTTAAAATGTTTGACAATTTTTCTATGCTATTTCCATACAAAACTTTGATTGAATTGCGCTCTATCTAAACGTTAATATTAAAAGCTAAAACTTTCAGAGAATTGTTTTTTATCATTTGGAACCATTTGAGCCCCTGGGAGCAAGGAAATTCGAAAATGACCATTTTAAGAACCACCCTAATATATATATACGAGCAATAATCGTATATATATATATATATATATATATATATATATATATATATATATATATATATATATATATATATATGATGTATTTATACTTACAACTAGTTGGGTAAGATAAGAACATTTTATCTGAATCACGTGAATCGTATCTATTAATTTAAATACTAATGAGGTGTCGTACAATCGACGTGTTATGATAAATG